ACTAGGTCTGATGCTAAATAAATGTTATGAAGAGGAACATTAACAAAACCACCCTCAATACCCTGAGCAATAACATATTCACCTGCGGCAGAACTCGAATTTAAAAGCAATACACCTTCTAACAACAATGATTGAGTCGCCCCAGTATCACGTAGAATACGTATGGTTATGGGATTGCATCGTCATTTGTCAAAGACACAGAACCAACAGACACAAAAGGTCTAAATTCTCCCTGATTACATCAGCCTTTATATAAGTGGGCAAATCAACAACATCGGGTGATCTGGTGAAACTACGTCCATATGTGGACACAAACACACTGGGTGTTGCATTCTTTTCTTTTTTCTTCTTCAAACACCAACAATCGGACATAACATGACCAGGTTTTCTTACAAAAATGGCAGACAGGCCTTAATTGTGTTAAAGAAGTTGTAACCTGATTGTCAGAAGATTTCGAACTAGGGGAGCTGGATTTCTAAGAAGAATCCCCCACTTTAGTTGATTGAACAGATACAGGTTTTTGTTGAGATGGTAGGAATTTCTTTTTATGAAAAGTAGTTTTATATGTTAAAGTGTAGTCGTCGGAAAGAGCGGCTGCTTCCTGTAGTGTTTCAACTTTCTTTTCATCCATATAAGATTTGAGGCCGTCACGTGCACAACGTTTAAATTCCTGAATTAGACATAATTGTCTTAGTTTGTCGAAACTGTTGCCAGTATGCATAGAATTGACCCATCGATCGAAATAAACCTCTTTCTCGTGGGCAAATTCCATATGTTTGATTACCTTGTTTGCGATAACCTCGAAACTTTTGGCGATAAGCTTCCAGTACTAACTCGTATGCTTGGAGAATAGCTGCTTTAACCTTATCATAATTTGTACAATCTTTCAAAGAGAGAGCAGCATAAGCTTACTGTGCTTTACCAGTTATGACACTTTGTAGTAATAATGACCATTTTTCGTTGGGCCATTCCATGGTTTGGGCAACCTTCTCAAAATGTTGGAAATATTTATCAACTTCATTTTCATTGAATGGTGGTGCTTTAACATATCAGTTAAGTTCGAAGTTATCATTTTTGCCTTTGTCAATCGGAGTTAAGTCTAATTTCTATTTCTTTCAGCCTAATTTCCTTTTCGGTTTCAATGCGAGCTTTTTCGGCCCCAAGATGTTTATCTTCTCTTTCAACTTCGACACAAGCCTGTTCTTTCTCTTTTTCGGCTTCGATACGAGCTCGTCCTTTCTCTTTCTCAGCTTCGATACGAGCTTGTTCGGCCTCGAGGCGTTTATTTTATCTTTCAGCTTCGATACGAGCTTCTTGTTTGAGTTTTAGTTGGATCTCTAGCTTATCTTTATCACTCAATCCCGATTAGCTAGTAGAGCTGTTTTGTTGTTTTTGAAGTTAAGCACAAAGCTACACAATGGGCTATCTGTGGTCTGCCTACCACGGGTATCAAAACCCGGATTCTAGCGTTGTAAGTTCGTAGACATACCGTTGTGCTACTAGGGGCTGGCTAATAGGGACACTAGAGTATTCCTCTAATGCTTCCTCAGGCAACAAATCATCATCGACTAGTATTTCAATAATATGCTTTATTAGCTAATTTGTTCTCATTGATCTTTTAACGAATTTATTATTATATATTTATTTAATATAAACGTTTGTTTAGATTAAATTTATATTTAGAAACATACATAGTTTATACTGTTAAATATGTATTGCGAAACTCCTGTCTGATTTCCAAAATTGTAGAAGATTCTCGAGAGTAAGAATAAACAATATATGTATGTAAATGCTTAAATGTAGCTCAGTATTGTTACATAAATATGAATTTTTTAAAAAGCCTCCATACGCCTATAAATATAACCAACGCGCCGCGCCAAAAGAGAGTATCTATTATTAGTTTGCTATAGTCAGTGTGCTATAAATTTCGGAAGCTATAACTGTAATTGTTATAACGCTTATCAATCGGAAAACTTCAGATGTTTGACCAAGAGCATTTACAAAGTTCGAACTTTACAAATAATTTAACTTCAGTGGATTCTCATCGAACATTAGTATTGTGACGGAAACATTATATAAACTCATCGTGGAAAGTGTGTGTGGCTGGTGAATAACGAAGGATAAAGCTGGCTAGCTTCCCGTTAAGTGAATTATACCTACGTCAACTCGTAATCAAC